GATATATATATATATACATACAAAATATACAGTAATGAATCCGACCTTTACACAAATATTTCCCCATCGCTCATGAAGGTAGATCACGCTTAGATATTTATATTTGCACAGATCATCATCGACTGGAATTCACAGCCATCCTACTGTATATACGAGCCATTGCCAGCTTTGATTATTTTGTTAGAGACCGTATATAACAAGCTGCTAGGATAATGAAGACCCTATCGCGGTATTTCAACAAATAAATACAATAACATAATAAAATAAGACAACTCGGCTCAAAATAGGGACCAAAAACGTGTTACTGATCTTGCTTTCGACTCTCGAGGAACATAACATAATGACAAACAAAACATCACCTGAATTATTAGCCTAAATCTAACCGGTAGTAAATATTATGTCTTCAGGTATCTGGCTGAAGAACCTGCATCTGGCACACGACGCGATATTTTCATGGATGCATAATGTCATCTTCGTTAAACCCTTGTTTTTTTTTTTGTTGTTTTTTTTTTGGTGGGTGCATGTGCTTGCGGAGGTGTGTGGTTGCTGTTTTAAAAACTGCAGTAGCCCTTGAAGTATAGAAAACTAAAAATCGAAAGTGAACGACTGTCTCAAGTCGCTTTTAGATTCCGGTTGAATCGAGTAGATGACACCAACTACCCCGTGAGCTATCTGAACTAACTTTAAATAAATCGAAGATATCAATTTCGCACGCTGCGCTGTGACATATAATTTATAACTTACCACAGAAGTGCAGCAGTAGGTAGCGGGAACATTCAAAGGAAAAAGTTGCCTCAATCAGAAGTTCTAAACCAAAACCAGAAGACTGGCTTTGGTTTCGAAGGAATCTGCTATTACTTAACATGGAGTAACTAAGCATTTCTCAAGTCAGAAATAAGACAGTTTCATGGGCCCATGAGACGCACGGTTCAACGAAAACAGAAATGGGCGGAAAGAAAATCGTTCTAATTACTAGTGTGCCCTCTTTTGTGTCCGCAAAAATGTTCTCTTTTCTTTGACTTGAAAGAAGCTCAACTTCATACTGAGTCATAGAAAAGTTTGGTTTTTACCTGGAACTTCTGATTAAGGGCTGTTGTTCCTTCGATATTTTCACGTGAGAAATGCACCACCTAGCATAGACTTTCGCAGTAAATTTACGTCTCGCGGCATACGAAATGTTTTTTTTTAAATATTTATTTGTTTTAAGAAGGCTAGATCTCTTGGGCCCACATAGTATATTCGGGATCAAAACGTTTATCAAAGCGATATATAACCACAACACTCTCGCGCTCTTCGCTATTTCTGGATTGCCATAGATCAGAAGTGGAAATGGTTTCGGGGAGGCACCTCTAATTATAGCTTTCAGGGTGCAATCAATTTCCATTGCATTTTGACATGTTCCGTGGTACGTCGAATTGTCTCGGCATGCACACAAAGTCTCGCTGCAAATCAAGGCGTGAGTTCTTAAAAATATTCCTCCCAATAATAAGACCCTTTTGCTGTACATAATTTGAACTGGGTGCGCTATCTGTTAAAAATGACTTCATTATCCATGTTTTGTTTTGGCTCTAGTTTTTGTGCGCGCAATTTCGTTTCTACATACTACGATATTTTTTACACTCTTAAGGGTGTAAGAGACACCCGCATCGCTACTCCCTTTCAAGAACCTCATTCTGAGTGAAACACCCATTTTCATCGCAAAATAGGATGCTGTTGTATGAAAACCCTTTATATTTTGAAGGGTGTGAAAAGGGTGTGGACAACGGTGCCACAGTAAAGTGAGACGAACGCCCTTCGTGAAGGTTGTTCATCCTTCAATAATGGCTTTAGACCAGTTGCTTTACGGACAATATCGAATAATTTTTGCTTGTACCAGTTTTTGTTTTTTACTTGGAGACCCATTTCTTCCAGTTAAATGTATTATGCTCTCCGTGGTATAGCGATTGATGAGAACAAAGCAATAGAGTTGTAACCTTCCTGACTACGGGGGCGGTTCACCTGTAAATGAAGGCGGTGGAGCGGTCAGTTGGGCCATGATTCTTCTCCGCGCCTGGTTTACTGTGTCTGTATCTTCCGTTCCTGTGCATGTGAGAACTGCATATGGTGCTTGCTGCTCCTAAACCTGCTGCTCGGAAAAAGAGCGATCCGCGGAGGGTTGCTAAAGTTACCAGTATTATATTTTTTTGTTCGTTCACCAGCAGCCTACGAGTGTTCCTAATAATAATAATTGGGGTTGTGTGGATATTTATACAGCGTCCAGTTGGTCAGTCATTTCAAAGTTATGACGAGTCACTCTCTGGAGACGAGCAATATAGCCAGTACAACTGATAGGCCTGGGATCTTTAACGTGCATCACGCAGTAGTGATACACGACCGCACGCCGGTACAATGCTCATCCAGATCGAAACAGGCAGGGGTGGGGATTGAGCCCAGGATCCCTGGGTTCTGCAGCGCCAGCTTTCGCTCCACGTGCTCCGAGCTGGTGTGCGCAAGCCCACTCGGCCACCGATCCCCCCAGGGTGTTAACACCCTTAGGGTGTTAGCCCCGAGACAAGCTAATTTAGACCCTTAAGCGTATAAAAAGTTTTCAGTGTCTGAAAACTTTTTAGATGCTTAAAAGTCTAAATCAGATTATTTTTTTTAAGCATTGTTTAGTTATACAAATGTGGTGTAAACAAGCCTATGAACGGAGTGCGATGCAACTTTGCACAAAGGTATCTTTCTGGGTCGTGCATTTTAGCATAATAACATTTCGTAAGTGAGGGTTTCCGGGAAACAAAAATGTAAGAAAAGAAAAAAAAAAAGAAACGTTTATTTTCCTACGCATACCGGAAAGAGAAACGGAAACAAACCGTCTGCGAGTAGCAAACCCGAGCGGCTGTGGTACCATCTGCAAGTAGCAACGTCAACCAAACTGTTCGTTTCCGTTTTCTTTTTTTTTTCCCCTTTCCGGTGCATAAAAAATAACGTTTTACTTTTTTTTTCTGCATTATTTTTCTTTCCTAGAAATCCACTTCCACGCTAGTTGAGTATGATGAATGCACAACTAAATACAGAGTTGTAAAAATTTGCATTGCGCTCATTTCATTGACTATTCATGCGGCATTTTCGCACTCTACAGTGTTCGAGAACACACTGATAAAATGGACATCCCGTGCATTCACGGAGAGGAGAGACGTTCGATCTGTGCCAGAATATAGTCCCGACAGTAGCGGCCTGTCGATATTCAAAGTAGGTTTATGGGGTCGACCTCTCCCCAAAGAAGTCCGATTTCCTTTTACATAATCTCACTTTCACGTAGATACGCTCGGAATTTCCACTTTTATAGCCAAAGTTACGCGCGTATCAACCAACCAGGCGAAGCGCATATTCGCGCTTGTGCTTACTGGTACGGAACGCCTGACATCTTTCCTTCTCTTTCATTTTTGTTTTACGTAATTTTTACGATGTTTTTGCTAAGAACGGGATTCTGCTGTTGACGTTTCTAAATGCGGCTCACTTCCTGTGTTTACCTTTAGCTCCCCCAACAGCTTCGCACAATGTTCGCAGACGTAAACGGAAGTGCGCGGGATTTAGTTTTTACCTTTATTTTTTTTCTCGTAAACTTTGTACGATGGACAGACAGCGCCAAAGATGCCCAGTTCGATGAGCATTCTGCCTTTCTGATGATGCGCGCTAAGTTTATATTCTTTCTCTTTTGCAGGGTTTATTTTTTTCTAGGATTCTTTTATTTTATTATTATTTTATTTGTGACGGCCCCATATGACCGGAAAGCTGCCCGGCAACAGGAACCGAATGCCGTATCGTTGATCGTGCATCGAATTCCCGATGGAGCTCGTATCGTAGTTCAGCAGCGGTCGTATCAGATTCGGAGCGGATACAGAGACGGGGCTTTATTTATTTTTGTCTTTCTCGACATTTTCTTCTTTTTGGTTTTCTTTCTTTTATTTTATGTACGTACATCGGCTCCTCTGGCATCCCGACGCGTCGAAAAGAACAAGCGGCAGGTCAAGTTACTTCGGGAACGACGTTTCTATGTTAAGAGTTCCTGGGACTCGAGCGACTTGATTTTTGTTTTTGCTAGCAGACAATCTTTATAGGCTTCGTTGAGAGTAGCAGACGAACGGAGGTACCTTCAAAAAACACAATTCGAACCTTTTTTTTTTTTTTTTACTTTTTTTTTTTTTTTGTTTCACACCGCACCGAGAGTTTTAAGTACAACTTTTAGGCGTTTTTAAGTATAGCATTTCGTTGGGTCTCAATAATTCATCGAACAAACACTGTAATAAGCTAGCGTGAAAGCGTTGCAAGATGCCAAGGTATGCAAGCGAGCTGGTTAAGAAACATCATAATATAACCCACAAGGATGAATAAACTAACGGACGACACAGAATCTAAACTTTTTGTGTCGTAATTTCCGTTATTATGTCATGTTGTCCTTTTCGTTATTTTATCGCTCCTTGTCTCAGGGGCTTAAATCATGGCGAAAGCATACCCTGCATGAAGGAGCCAGCGAACGTTTGACCAGCTGGCTTCATTGGAGCGGCAAACTTTGGGAAAACCGAACTCTGTCGGCACCTTTTAACGAACATATGGCCGCAACCGCAAAGGTTTGTTTTATGCGTGTCTCGCTTCACCGAGCGTTTGAAGAGCGAAGGAATGCTTTCCGAACGTCGGCTTGATTCCTGCCATCGCCGAGGACATCGGAACGCGGAGGCGACGGGCAAACGGACCGACGTTTCGGACATTTCTTCGTTCTCGGCGCCGGCGGGAAGCGCGGAGAAAGCCGGCAAAACACGTCCGAACCGAACGTGTGACCGTTGTTGACATCGGGCAGCCGTGCTACGCGAGGACAAGTTCCTTCTTTTGTTATTGTTTTGGTTTGAAAGAGAGAGGGTGTAAAGAAGAAAAACACAAAACAAAAGAAGAAAAAAGAACGAAGCGACCGTTGCTTATTCATGGCGGACGGGGATCCGTGTAGAAGTGGATGGGCCACTCACCTGAGCAACGCGACGAGGCCCGGCTGCCGTCGAATTCTTTCGGAGGGGGCTGCTTTTTGAATATTCCCGTAGTTGGTCTCGGCGAATCCAGCGCGGTGCGGCGTCCAAAAGTGTCGTAGTCTCGTTCACTGTCGCTCACAACGGCTCCGGACGATAACGGGGGGCCCCGTGGGGGCTTTTGGGGGGTCCTTTCGCGAGGGGGGGGCCGCAGAGCCTCGCGTAGCTGGTCGCACTTCGGAGGGGCCCGCCAGCGGGCCTTTTCGTTCGTTGCTTCGGTTGTTTCGCTCGTTTCCTTGGCGGCGACGCCGCGACGCGGAGAACAGCGGTGGCGCTGGCGTCGCAACGGCCGTGGTGGCCATTTTGAGTGGGACTTTTTTTCGGATTGGAAAAGTTTGAACCTCATCTCTTTTCGTCGTTTTAGCATGTTTGAAAACGAACGGTATGAGAAGTTTTTTTGTCCGCTGGGGCTGGGAACCTTTCTTGTTTTCTTTACTGCCCTCTACTTCAGAAATGTTTTGTCCACAAGTTCTGAGTTGCCGGAGAGCCGTGGCCTTAGCTGTCGTTACATCAATTGTCTAAAAAAAAAAATAACTTTTTAAAAGGTTATTGAGCTGTCTATTTTATATTATAATAATAGTAAAAGGTGAGCGTACAATTTTCGAAGTGTTTATAATCCCGCCTCCTTGGGGGCTCACAACCTGGCGCTTGCGTTCATGGCCCCTCCGAGATCCCGAAGCACGCGCGCGAAAGCTTCTCCGGCCGTCCCATATTTGAGTCGCTCCCCAGCAGAACAGTGTAATTGCTCTAACTCCGTCGCTCGCCGCGAGGCGGCGCTGTCTGCCCAGTCATAACAGAGAAGCGAGCCGTCAGCGTCTCAGGTAGAAAACTGCACTGGTAAGGGCCAGACCGCAGGCCACGGGCCGGCCCGGCCCTCGGGCCGGGCTCAGGCTTTTACGGCTACATTCATGAAGGCCCGGGCCGGGTACGGGCCTTGCATTCAAGTCTATAAGGGGGGCTGAAGCAAGCTAATACCAGCCATTACTTTCTTTTTTTTTTCTTTTTCTGCGGCATGTTTTTTGGAGGCGTGTTCGGGGGTTGGAAGAGGAACCATAGTGGGGGATAAACAGATGCTGAAGCATGTGTGTGTGGGTGTATGTTTTTTATGGTTCGGTGCGTGCAGCGAATGCGCTTCCAGAGGGCTATATCCGCACGTCAAACAACGTGCGGATATATATATATATATAGATAGATAGATCACCATGGGTTGTTTCTACTCAGAGAATATTTTTTTGTACGAAGTTAATTTTTTTCTGGAGTTTTATTTGCGCTACCAGAGATGACGATGAGACAAACAATTCTAGGATTGTTATAGATAAGTTTGTACGGTCGTACGGTCGTTCTTGGTCAACATAGGCATGCCTATGACAGACAGAGTAGCGTATCGACAGAAACTGCTTGAAGCCATATTGCATCGCGAATTACATCGCGTCTAACCTTAAAAATCAAGGCTTGGAGTCTGTAAATATACCAGGTTGGAATACCGAATAAACCAGGTTGGAACAAGAGTGAAATTTATAAATAAACCAGAGTTCTTTTTCTTGAGATCCCATTGTTTGTTTGGATATCAAATAAGTTAAGTAACAAAGTGTATAGCGGGATACGGTGGTCTATGCTACATCTGCCAAATACTAGACGTTTAGAAGATAACACCCCACCTTTTTAATCAGTACCTACTATTATGACAAAGTTTTTAAAAACAAAAATGGCGAAATCATTGCGAGGTGGTTGTACCTCACCTCCGTAAGTTTTTCCCCAAACCCGGGGTCACACTGCTTGTACCATCATACAAAAGACAGTCTGCAAACAGATTCAAACTCGAGTCACCACGAGATCTGAGCTTCGAATGCCGCAAGGCATCGAGTTCAAGGAGACACTTGACAAGCGGCATTTGAACCATTGATGTCGTGATGACTGATATCTACAGACTGTCTTGTGTATAATGTATAGACAGTGTGACCCCGGCTTAAACGTACTTCTAGTAGAAGCAAACACCACAATACAACCCGCAAAAATTGCGGAATAAATATTAAAAATATTAAAAGAAGGACAACATGGACTTCACTATATAGAAAGTAGTGAAAGCACACAATAAAGACGAATACGAAGACGGAGAGGCAAACAGGACGAGCGCTTTCACTACTTTCAACATGCATAACCAACTCGCCTGCATCGCCACATTACTTCACTATATAGTATCAAACCTCGTGCTCAGGCTCAAAGAGCTACGCCAAACACGATGCAAAGAAAAAAAAAATATATAGCATGATTATTTTTATTTAGGGAAATCCGAAGTTTTTATGTACGGAGGGAATATTCATTTTCTGGAATTTTATACGTGCTACAGAATTGCAATCAAATATATCAAAAGGCGCGCTTGTAGCGCTAGCCACAACATGTACAGATGAATATCTCAAATTAAATAATTAAATAAGCATCATAAATTGTCTATCTACGTCCCCAGAGTAGCTGTTCACCGTTCTACCACAGTACGCAGATATTTGTAAGTATAAGTTGCAATAACTCGACCTAACAATACTTTTTCTTTAAACCTTCTGCCTCGCGCCATGCTGTCAATGACTGGGTTGGGAGCGCCTCCCCGCGGAGAGACGCCGCCTCCTTCTCTTTTTCCGATTACGCCCTCTCCGCATGAATGGGACGGCCGGAGAAGCGTTCGCGCGCTTCGGGACCTCGGAGGCCATGTGGCGTTCCGCATGTTTGGAAAGTGTTTCGCTAGATGGCGCCAGCGGACTGCTCTCTGATCTGATATCAAGAGAAATCGAAAATGGCCGGAAGCGTGGCCCTCAAGGTTGTTCTAAATTGTTCTCCATCGCAAACCGAAGGCGAAGTGGGCGTTGTAGGACATGGAAATATTTCGTAAGTTGATTGATAGTCAATAGACTTTAAGATCGGGCGATTACTGAACAACCAATTTTCGCTCGGGTCTTGCGTTATATGCACTGCAATGCCTTGGGCGGTATAGCGTTTTCTTTCATTCCTCTTATGTGCTAACCTTGTTTACTATTTCCTTTTTTTTATTTTTCTTTTGTAATACCTCTGGTTTTGTTTACTTTTAGAATTTGATACACTTCTAGGCGAGGATTTTATTCGGTACGTAAATAACAAAAGCCAGCCATGGCTTAGTGTTCAGATGTGGCTGTTTTCCAAGTGTAGAATGACTCACACGCGCGCACGGATAAACCGCAGAAATTAATATTCGAAACACGCTGAGGGCCTAATGGACCTAACCCAGTTTAGATATATCTCAAAAATCAGTTTCGCGAGCTCGGACACTGCCATTTTCCGCGGAAGTATGGCTATAGGCGCTGAAATTCTTGTGTGACAAGATCCTGTCAAAAGCTGACCCCAATTAAAAGTTGCAAATAAACAGCACAATTTTCCCCTGGCTCAGTACGGAGTCAAGCCTTCTTTACAGTGAAAGCGAGAACGCGGTCTTCTGGGCCACATTGGACAAAACAAGATATGAAAATAAAGTCAGAATTAGTTTCCTTACTCCCTTCGTTGTTTTTGTTACATCAAAGGTCCCAAACATAAAAAAACAAGATTTTATTCATAAAGAAAAATGCTAACGTATGAGATCCCAGAGGAAGGTGCTACGGAAAGCACGGAAACTGTTACGATACGAAATGTGTAACGCTATCGTATGTGCCAGTCTTTTTAGAGAATTATAGCCCGAACTAGGAATGGAAGGCCAAGTTGAGGTCCTATACTTTCGACTAGTTCACAAAGTGAAAGGCAATTGAGCCTGCGAGGACCGCGGTCGTACTCATAAAAAGGTCGGATTGGGTGTTTTAACTTTCAACTCATAATAGGGAGTTTTCTATAGACCGTTTTCCCAGCTCCGGTACGCTCTCCGGAACGAAGACGCCAGTGTGCATGCACGGCGCTAACCTTTTTAATATGTTATTAGGAAGGTTTCTTTCTTCTATTGTACTTTCTGTAATTTTATTGTTAAAGGAGCTGTGCAACGATATTCAGTTGGAATGTTTTTCTCTCTACACGAGCTTACTGGCACACCTGGGACTCAAGGATACTCACACGCAACGCCATTGGCCAAGCAACTCCTTTGTTGCGCTGTAATTTCAAGGACAAAAGCGATCATTTTCATTCAATCTCTCCCTTGCAAAATTTGATGACGTAACTCGGGGATCGCAGTACACCCAAGTGACGATATTTGAATGCGGTTCATAGATTGGACCCGAGCATTGCGTGAGCCCTCGACTTGGGCTCGTGGCAATTGCTAGCTCGAGAAGCATTCGGGTTGTGACCCGTGCCCAATCGCTGCAACGACGACAACAGCCGAGCCATAACAATGTCTGGAACTCAGCGCGTGTCCTGCGCTTCGCCAACCCCAGCGCGTGGCTATGATCAACACTGGCGGCATATAATCGGCTCCAGATCACGTGACCGCTTGTTCTGGCTGTGAGTTGAGGGGGTGAACGCTGCTCGTTTTTCTTAAATTTTTTTCTGGGACTTCTATTGCGTGGGGTGAAGAACGAACACATGTTTCATAGGTCATTAACGTTAGGGATCCGTTTTAAGCGGTATTTGCGCAAAGTACAAAAATTGTTGCATAGCTCCTTTAAGATGGGCCCAAATTAGCCAAAAGGCTGTGGGCCTGGATGGTTCTCAATAAATTGTATGGTGCAACTCATGAGAATACACTCGAATGATTGATTGATTGATTGATTTATTGAACCTTTCTTGCAAAGTCCCGGAACTCGTAGCGGCTTGCAGAGAGCGTTGCGGGGCAGCGGAATTTCGTTCTACAGAAACTCCCTATTGTCTGCTGGGGAATTCGCGACTCCAGCAAAACAGACGGCACCTAGCGGTAAAACACTGAACTGGCCGGAACGATATCTGCTCGTCTCTCAGGCCTTCCATGATCGCATGTTGTCGGTGGTTGGCACGATGGCCACCAAAACAAGCGAGGGAAGTTGCGTTGGGTGTGTCCACGGCAGCAACGGCAGGGCCGCAGGGAAAACCGTAATTCATAATGGCCTAACAAATAAGGTGGGCCTTGCATTGCTTTTTATGTTACGTATATGGCGAACATTTCTCCCGGTGTCTTTGTCGTTAGTGCCGTGTGAGCGTGTTGCTTAGGTCGCTCTGAACACAGACTACGCAAGTGCGTGAACCGGACATTGTGCTTTTATTACCGTTCATTGGCGCGGTAGAAGGACAGTAGTACAGGGTGAAACAAGGAGACGCCAGGCTCTTTAAATCGA